GCTTTTTTGCTCTACTTATTTCAATGGAAATGTAGAGTGGTGGATCATTTTTTCTCATTAGTTTTGTGGGAAAAAATTAGGGGCGATGTTTAGGGTGGGAGGGAGGACGTCAGCCTGCACGCTGCTTGAATTGTACGGAGAGAACATGAGCTAATACACTTATACTATTTTTAATAGCTTACACGCCACGCTCCCCAAAAAGATTGTTATGGCAGACGAACATATGTTGTGATATGTTGAGAACTCCAAAAAAATCGGCCAACACCAAGTGTTTCTTTTGCGATACCGAGGGATGTTGGCCAGGAGGCCCACATTTCCACGCCGGTTTCACTACACCGCTGCAAAGCATGTCTTTTGATCGACACTCGACTGCCAGTGGTTCAAAATTCGAAAAGCTGCATGCAACTTGTTCATAACCAGTGACATGCTAATTGTACCTTTTCCTGTTTAGTTCTGATTTTAGCCTATTGCATCGGTACGACCACTTTCATCGGATCACTACGTCAAGTCGCCTACGGTGAGTCCTCTTGGTCCTTGCAACTGTGCGATGTTAATAAAACGATTCTAATATGAAGATAATTTGAGCTGTGAGTGTTCCATCTCGAATAATAAGCGACCCTTTGAAGTGTGAGTTATATCTACCGAACGGCCACAGCAGCTCACAAACACGTCTCCAACTTTACAAGAAGCATCTCTTTTTGAGTTACTTCTCGCAAATGTCTATGGATTTGATTGAAGATGTCTGGAAGCTTTTCTGAAGTCAGATACCAGAAAATTGAGCGACCATGGTTCTCTGGGTGAATGTTGATGTCGAAAAAATGACGTTTTGATCCAGCAATTAATTTGAACGATATGTTCTTCCCAAAACTCGTTGCTCATAGCCTACATCTGAATATGATAGTCGTAATATGGGGTAAGCGCTTTGATGGGATATCTGCAGTGCGAAACAGTCCTACTCACTCCCTTTATTATGTTCAGCCATACGGAGTGGGTCAGAGGGAAAGTGGTGTTAAGCAGTTTCAAGTTTCTGATTTTTCTGTTACAATAAAATGTTGGTTTTTTCCTTCTTGGTGTATTCGATTTTATTCTAGGAGGTTGTCCTGGACGCGGACCACAATCATATAAATGCGCACCCTGGTGGTGACAAATCGCTGTCGCTCGAGAAAAAACGTGAGAAAACATTCTTTCGTAGTTACTCACCAGCACTCT